GTCCCCGCGAAGTCCATGCTGATCGTGTGCGTGACAAAATGCCTGTCAGCATGAGCCACAGAATACGTCACAATGTGTGACTACCTCTGCCGCCCTGGCCGCAACCTCGGACGAAACTTGCATATCCTGGATATGGACTGGGATATATCCTGAGTGTATGAGGGAGCCCCATATCCAGGATATCGAGTAAATATGGCCACTACATCCAGGATATCGAAACAATGTGGCCAGCGTATCCAGGATATGCAACGGTCTGCCGATGAACCATGCTGCAACAGACCCCCGCTGTTGTTTGCATTTGAATGTGAATGAAACGGTTTTTGCGAAGTGGTGTTTCACAACCGCCTGAAGTTAGAGCGGCTGTGAACTTTCCGCTCTGTGCCCAACGGCCCCGGCATCGGCTTTTCCTGCAAAACCTGAAAAAGATTGAGTACTGTAGAAAAACTAGAGGTCGCACGGCCGCCCTGTACTTTAGCAGCACAAGCGATTCCGCGTTTGCCCAGTACTTTGTTGTAGAACCGCTGTGTGCTGTCGCCAGGTGGGCTGCAGCCTGGAGGAACTGGTCAGGTTGCTGCCGAAGGGGTGCGGGCGATGACTTTTCAGAAAGCCTTCCGTCAATCATTCATTCTATTCCGTCAATTCATTCCTTCAATAAACATTGGGCTTCTGGTAAACTTCTCCGCTTACTAATTGGTCAGTGGTGCTGTGTGAAAGTACTACTTAAAAATTGCGGCGAAGCAGTGATGTTTGTTTTAGCAGCGCTCTTTCAGCTGCTTGCTGTCCAGAATTTCTTATTGCCTTCTATTTCCGGGCGCTATCCGAACGGACCTGGTGGTGCCGATCAATTAGGAACTATGGAGGAACTGCAGGAGCGGCTACAGGGTAGGTTTATTTCATGCCGCACCATCGGTAGAGAGCCGGAAGGTGTGTCGGAGGTAGCCAGGGAGCGGCGCACCATGCGAGTGCACAACACGTGTTTGATACTTTGGATGGATATCTCCACATAGATCTAAGTGCTATCTGGACAACGCTTCAATTAGGAAATCCTCGTATCGATGCGCATCACATCCTTCATGGGATGATGGGCATGGAGGCTTAGATAATAGATCAGATAATATTGTGTACATTCTGTAATATCCGAGCGTTGATTGTTAGTAGTACTAACAATGTACAGAGTACTAGTAATGTACAGAGTACTAACTTAGCACTCTGTACATTGTGTGTATTCTGCAATATTCCGCATGTTCTGGGGTTTGTACTTCGGGCCTAGTCCACACCTGCAGGCAGAATCATTGGGAGGATTCAGGCCTTCGGGTAGAACTTCTGGCTGGACGCCTGGTCGCCTAGTACATGAGCATCTCTGGATTTGCGTGGCGCGGCTGCGAACATCGGTAGCGCACAATCCCGATTGAATCGGGATAATTTATCGATAATTAGTCAATATTTATGGATAATTTGTGGGTAGTTTATCGATATTTTCCGCCAATTTATCGAAACGTTGGAAAGCCCATTACAACAGTGCGGCGCTGGTGTCAGGATGTAGTGGGGTTCCTTTCGGCAAAGCATTTGACGTGGATGCCAGAGCTCAGGAAGAAAGGCAAGTGGTCGTCAGCATTACGGTTATGCTACTCCCTAAAGTATTGCTCTCTGAAGTACACTCCCTGGCAATCTTCTGCGACTCGTCAGAATTACGGTTATGCTACTCCCTAAAGTATTGCTCTCTGAAGTACACTCCCTGGCAATCTTCTACGACTCGCAGGATCCTGCAAGTTCTGCCTGGCTGCCCATCTACTCGCTCAAATCCATCAAGAATCATTTCTCATCAAGGGATGGAAACCTCCTTGTTTTATTTTTGCGACGTTCTGTCACAGGATTATAATCTTATGCATTGTTATGTCGCATTATGGATTTCTTTTGCGTGTGCGCTGGACCCGCTGGTCCTCAATCAGCGAATACCACGGTGTACTGAACCCTTCCGCGTCAAACAATTTTACCATTTCGCGTTTTGCTGCGCATGTTTGTCAGAGCGTTATTTTTTTACGTCGCTCTGCAAAACCTTACTAAAAGAGCGTTATTTATTTTATTGAAAATACAGTAGCCTCATACCATTGCCACAGAGTGTGAGCTGGAACACGTGCAGCCCTGGCACAAGTATCCTCACCATACAAACCCACGGGCCGCCGTGCCAGACAGACCCACATGTCTGCTTGCCATACAACTCAGATCTCTGTGTGAACTCGTGTGTCCGCCAAACACACAGACATGTGGGTCTGATTGGTGGGCAGACATGTACGGTAAGCAAACCCACGGGCATGTCTGCGCCGCGCACCACGCGGCACACAGCAAATCGATGGACTCTCGCGTAACATGTTGGCCGTAACATTTTCACGTTGATTTGCAGAGCTGGGCCCGCCCGACGCCCCCACGCCCAGCCGTCCAGCGCCCCCTCACCCTGCCCCTTTGCGTCGCGCCACTGCATGATCCGCTCAACATGCTGACATGTGGGCTCGAGCGGCGAGTAGACACGTGGGTTGCACGGCAGGCATACCCACAGGCGCGTCTGCATCGAGCACCGCGGCGGCACTCCGCGGTTTTTGATGGGTGCTCTCGCGGAACAGGCGGCCGAAGGGCGCCACGCTCAAGTTGGAGCTGCTCATGAGCAACGCTAGAGCTGTTGTGTAAGAATGATGGCGATGATGATGGTGATGACCGCCATTCTGCTCACGTTAGGGAAAATCGTCCCAACCCCGTCCCTGTGTGTCCAACGTGTCACCCCACCTGCCCCTTTGGCTCGCGTCCAACGTTCACTACATAGGCCACTTGGCCCGCGCGCCGCGCCAGGACAACTCGGGGCTCGAAGGGGGGTCGGTTTTTCTCCGGGCGCGGAAGCGCAGAGTGGACGGCGAGCGAAGGAGCGGCTAGAGGGGAGAACGGGGGAGCTAGGTACTTGGGGCACGGGGCATTGAGCCGAGACGTCGGCGACTTTCGAGATCCGCTTTTTCCGCCTGGGACGCCCGCCTCCGCGCGCCTCCCTGCCCGCCAGCCTCGCGCCAGGTTCGCCCTCCCATCCCATCGAATTCAAAATCTGGAGGGGTGCCCTTGTCGGTTGGGCCTTCGCGAGGGGTGGATCAGGCGGGGCCGTTGGGGCGCGTCGCCGATGGTGGCGCATGTCATGAGTGGGCTGAACGGATGTGTCCTGGACTCGCGCTGACTGCCTTGAACCCGGCAAGGCCGCATTCGCTGTCGCAATTTCGCCCCTCGAGTGTGATTTTCATCGCGGCGGCGTCCAGCCATGGATTCGTTGCCTCTTCGGCCAATTGCTGCGATCCTGCGCGGGGAGTTGCCGGTGATTGGCCCTCGCCCAGCCTCCTCGCCGTGAAGTACAGTCGCGGCGTCGCCTTGACGGCCCCACGAGAAGCGGGCGGACATGGGACGGCGAAAGCCGGACGCCGAACTCGGGACGCCCGGGGCCCGGGGGTCCGGGACCAGGCCCACCGCCGCGCCCGGGGCCTCGCCCCCGGATGCCCGCGACGGCCTCGACCTGGTTGATGGTGGTCGCGGAGAATTTGCGAATCGTTTCTGCGCAGCGGCGCAGCATCGGATGTCCGGAACAGGTAGGCAAGCGTCAATCCCTGGAACCCTTCTCCGCCTCCCTTGACCCGGCCCTTGCCCGCGGTCGCCCCGATGGCCTCGACGGGTCGATTTCGTGGCGCCCGCGGAGATTTTGCGAATCTCTCTTTTGGCATCATTCTTAGCGCAAGGGCGCGCGGCATGGTACTTGCGGATTCCGTGGGCCGGCGCCGATCCCTGAAACCCTCCCCTGCCTCCCTCGAGCCGGCATCCGCCCATGGCCTCAGGAATCGAATGACTGTGCCTGCGGCCTTTTTCGTCCCGTCGGCGCTTCGCCCTGGAAGCACATCGGCGGACCATTGGCCGGCATGGCAGTTGGGCTTGAATGCTTTTGTTCTGCTCCCTGGGCGTTGGCAGCCGGTCAAAGGGGCAGGGGCAAGCAGCCCGCGCGAAGGGCGCCACGCTCCACCCGGGGCGATGGGGGTGGGGGCGGAGAGCCGATCCGGCTGACACTCCCGGCCTGACGGGATGACGTTCGCCGCTTGGCGCCGGCAAATTGTACGCCCTGCTGATGGGTGGTGGTTGACCGGGCCCGGGGCTGCAGCGCTATTGCATGTACCGGCGGGATCATGGTAGCGTGGATGGGACTGGATGCAGGGGATGTCAGCATCAGCGTTTCTCATCGCTTCTGACGGGTTGCGATATTTGGCCAGAATGGCGCTGACCCACCTGCGCTGCTTTGTTGTTTCGATGTTGGCATCCCGCGGCTGGCTGATCCGCCGCTGGGGAGGCGCTCCGGCGGTGGCGGCCTGGGGACGAGCTGGTGGCAACGGAGTCACAGATGCCAAACCGTGGTGGCCACTGCGTTGGCATTACCATGACACATGGACTGAGTGCATGACCTGCCGCAAAGGGCTGGTCACTCGTGCCGTGCATTCAGTCCATGTGTCGTGATGATGTCAAAGCAGCGGCGTATTGTGTCAATTCTATTAAAGCGCTATTACAAGAGGGTCTGGGCTGGGGTGTTGTGTCTGTGTTTGGGTAATCACCAAACAGTGTAGCTCTTTTTCTTTTTCGTGTGGCGTGAAGTGCAGTGCATGGCGTTTGTGAAACAAACATGAAAAGCCAATCTGTATTGGGACTCGCAAACGACCTGGTCATACAGCCTCCTCTCATTTGCGCATCGCAGATACGATGGCAGGAAAAAGGGACAAGTGTGACGCATTGGTTCTTGCTTGATGGACCTATGAGCTGTTCTTGGATGACTAAGCATGTTCCAGAGGGGCAGAGATCCCCCATGTACAGCATTCTCCCTTTTTCATTTCTTCCAAGTTGGCACCTTTTGGGCAAAAGTGTTTGGAATGCTCAGTTTTCAAAGGTGACATCAACATCTGAAATGTGCTGATTTGTTGTTTGGAACAGGTTGAGCTATGACTGTGTTTCAGATGACAAATGCACGTGGGGCGATTGGGGGGCACACCGTGATGGACATCCATGCAGTGGACTTTGTGAGTGAACCATTCCTTGTGCAGGTCTCTTTTTGTTAGGGGGATATGCATCTACACGCGTTCTTACATGTATGTCCATTAATGTGTGTGTGGTCAAGCTATGCCGCCAAACTGGCTGACAGAACCTTGCAAAGTTATTCAGTCTTGTGGCCATGTTTGGCCAAAAGGATGTTGTGAGTCTGTGATTGGCACTGAAGGTAGAGCTCAGTGCACATGGTTTTGAATGTCGATGGCTCTTAAACGGACCACAATCAATATGTTTGGCAACAAAATTAAGGAGCAATCAAGATATTTGGACATCAATTTGTCACGATGCTGTCGTTTAACTGCTGCAATTGAGCTGCTTCCAACTCAATCTTTGCACATAATTCAATAATGAAGAAGGACCCACACATGCGAGCATTTGCATGTTGGTATGCTAGCAAATTCATGCCTGTTCAGCAGCCTCTTTACTGACAATTTATTGTGGCAATATTGTGCATATTGATTGTCTATATTGTGCGCATGTATTGAATTGTGCATCGATTGTAATTGTGAATATATGTGTAACTGCAGAATGGCAAGACTGCTCTCCACCATGCTGCTGAGAAGGGCAGGAGGGACACACTTGTCAGTGTTCTGGAGGCTGGCGCCAAAGTGCATGCACCGGATAAGGTGAACATGAAGAAGAAAGGAAAAATAAAATGGAAAAAGGATTAAAGCAAGTGCATATAAAGTTTGTACAAGCATGCACAACCCCCCAACTCCCCATGCACCTCCGGCAGGCATCGGCGATAAGATGTCAATGCACTTTGCCATCAAGTGTTGGGCAAACTGCTGATTTTAGAATAGCAACACTTGGGCAGTGGCAAGTGCGTATCTCTTCAAGGGCACTAGAGCATCATTTCTGTTTCATCTGCGTTTGCTTCCACGGGAAGAAAAACGTGGCACATCTTTTGTTATGCATTTCAGCGTGAGTCTCCTGGAGGGCCAAGTGCCTTGAGCAGATGGTGGGCGGACTGCGGAGCATGCCGAACGCTGCACTATTCCCCAGGGCACCACTTGCCGTACCCAGCCTCAAGGCACCTATTGCGCACGCTGCTGCAAAGTGGCATACAGCGTGTCCCACCAATGCTTTGAAAATTAACTGCGGCCCAACGAACTACCAGGTTAGTCTGTCTGTTGACGTGTATTAATTTTATATTAATGCAATACACTTTGTTGGCTGTTATTTCTGTTGCTCTTTTACTCTTCCCTGCTTATCTATGTGGTAGTTTGGGCACAGGTTCCAGGGTGCACAAACTACTGCACATGCTACAGTATCAGGAGCAAAATACAGTCCGGCTTGGGTGATGTCTGGATCGTGGCCAATTCTTTGTCTCAGGGCCTTCCTTGCTTCCCTGCTGCAAAAGTTCCACTCAAAATGACCATTCTGTGTTCTGCCCTTGCTCATGCAGTTTGGATGGACCGCCCTCCATTGGGCCGTGTTCAAGACTCGTTCTGCCCTCGTGCCCCTCCTCCTGCAAAAGGGGGCTACTCCAAACACCAGGGACCAGGTGAGTTTCCACTGATCAAGTTTGCCAACGCTCCTCGTTGAGCAAAGCACTGTCACTTGGGGGCCAACGACAAGCACAGAAAAAACTGAGCCATGTTGATTCTATTTCTCAATATCTTGATATGGTATACCTGGACGATGGGAGTCAGGTGGTGATGATGCCACTCGTCTGTTCCCATTCACTTTCTGCTTCTGTCTGATTCCCCCATCTTCTTTCTTTCCAAATCGAGTTCTGTTCCCTGATGTCATCTGCCGCCCTTGATTTCACCCCAAATGTGCAAGACTGGTGATTGCCCCACAAACACAGCTGAAGCCACCACAAGGCAAATCATTCTGTTGTAGCGATCAACATCATTACAGTGTAACGACTGCATAGCTACACTGCAAAGATTGCATCTTTGTGCTTTGATTGCATCAATGCAATATGCTTTGAAGATTGCATCAATGTATTGTGACTATAGCATCGTTACATTTGATGGCATTGCAGCAAAGCAGGTTTCATTGTTTGATTTGAAGGCCCCCTGCATCCACAGTGTAGTGCGAATCTTGCTCAAGATAAGGAAACGAGTCACTGTCCATCTTTTCTGTTAGTGCTGCAGCACACTGTGGATCAAAGTAAGAGCTGCACGGGCAGTTCAAAGGCCGGCAAGAATTTGACGCTGGCCTCTGGTGGATGCACATAGCCCCATTCTGTGGGATAGGTGGATCAGGGTCACAGATTGCCTTGAAAATTTTGAGAAGAACACTAGGAGGGCAAGGGCTTGCAGATGTTGGCAATTGACACCATCGCCTAGTCGGTGCAACCAGGCAGGATTTGTCAGAGTCACCAATACTGGTTGATGATGAGGCTTTACCGGATCCATAAATTTCAATCATTGCAGTGTTGATTGCTGCGAGAAATGGATGATGAATAGCTAAGATGATAAAAGAATTAGCAGTTGGTGACCAAGCGCTTGCTTTTTTGCTTCGTTGTTGAATTTAGTTGTTCCTTGGTGTGCAGGATGGTTGGATGCCTCTTCATTGGGCTTCACTGAAAGGTCCCAAGGATGTGTGTGAGCTGTTGCTGGAGCATGGGGCTGAGATAAGTGCCCAGAACCGGGTGAGCTCTGTTACCCATTCCGATATGCACCTGGCATCTCATAGGCACAAGGACCATGGTTGGCCTTCAGGACAAATATATTCAATCGATTTGCACAAAACACACACAGGTCAGCTGGGAATTGTTCGCACAGATGCCTAGAGCTTGTGGGTTTCCTGCAGAGCATTGTTTGATCGTGTACACTAACTTCACTGCAGTTGGAAACCTCAAACAGTATTGCACGGGAACTTGTGGGCAGCAAGGGGTTGCCAACTGTATGCTGTGGTTTTCCTTGCACTTAAAAGACACCACGTGCAAGACTTGTTCACTCGTACCTGTGAGACGATTCACTGCAGTGTGAAGCAGCATGGCACAGGACTGTCTATTCTGATTCCAAGGTCTGGCAAGTGATAAACTCACCTGGATCCTATCTTCAGAATTGACTCTTCACCACCCTTGCACCATTCCCCTTTGTGGCTGAAAAAAGCGAAGCCATGATTGGCAAGGAAAGAGCAATTGGCTTGGATGTTGCCGACCCCAGCTCATTTGTTCAGCTGGTTCGAGGGTGGGCGGGTGGGTGGGTGGCGCTTTGCTTTCTACCCTCCCGTTCTCTATCCAAGCCCAATCGGACTAACGCCACAAACTTTTGCGGCCCACCACACCCACCCCCTCCTTTCTTTTGAATTGCAACAAGCCCATCCCGCCCTCAACCCGCTTCACAACACTGGGCCGGTCGTCGGCTTCAATCAGCCCAAGGGGCTCCACCGTGCATTTGTAAAGAAACATAAATGATAGAATTCGCACCGTCGCAGCTTTGATGGCGATGAGGAACTTTGCTGGCATTTCTGCCACTTCCGCTCACCGCTTGGATGTCCCGTAGGATGGGTCCACGCCATTGCACCTTGCTGCTCGAGGAGGATACTCTGCCAGCCATGATGTCCTCGAGCAACTGATCGGATGTGGAGGAGAGGTCCATGCCATTGACGAGGTGAGGCAAGGTGTCGCTGAGTGGCAGTCAGTCCCCTGTGGGTGGAGAAACATCCAATTGGCATTCGATAGAGCTGGCAACATCGTTATGTTGTACACCACCCAGCTGCTCCATGCGAAAGGGGCTGCCACAGTGTCGAACTGCTGGTGTGCTCTTTAGACTCTCTGCAGTGTGTGCAGTGTGCAGAGGGCCTCAGGTTTTCACGATTTTGAAATGCCGCGACTCTAACTATTAGCTGTGGCTGTGCAGTCTGGCTGCACGCCGCTCCACCATGCTGCTGATGACGACAACGTGGCTGGCTGCGAGGTTCTAATCCAGTACGGTGCACGGGTGGATGTTCAGACCAAGGTAGGTGCAAGCCCCACCACGTTTTCCAGACTCCATCTGAACTTGAAGCCCAAACTCAGAGCAGACTTTCAGCTCAAAATAAGTGCAGTTTTCAGCCCAGAAGTCTCAGGCGTTCCATTGCAGGCGCACATCCCTAACCCAATGCACGGAGCTCCTGCTTCTATTGCATGTACCAAAGAGAAAAGGTATGTTTGAGCGAATTTGCGACTGGCACAGTGCTCCAATACATAAGCTGAAAAACCTCGTCTTCCAGTGCGGCAGTGCATTATAAGAAACGAAAAATACGCTGAAAAGGCCTGTAGATTGTGTTTGACTAAATTTCTGCAAGATGATTGTGAGAAACGTGCTGCCAATGCAGGCAGCTGCAACACACTTTCGGGCGAAATGTTTATGAGACCCGGTAATTCGCGCTTTGCACCCCGGTCCTTTTGCATATCTTGGCTCTTTCGGCAATTTTGACCACTTTCGTCGTTTGCAGTTTTTTGCGGCACCTAATTGGCGTCACACTTGCTGTTGCAACAAGTCGTTTGTTGCTGGGCTCCTTTGGACGAATTGACATGCCCATTTCTCCCGGTTCTCATCCGTTTTTCATCCGTTTCTCACTCGTTCTGGTTCTGATCTCACTCTTCTACTGCTGCGACGCAGGATGGCAAGACGCCGCTGCACAAGGCTGCTCGGTGGGGGAACCTGGCTGTGTGCGAGTGTCTCGTGCTCAACGGCGCTCCAGTGGACGCCGTGGACCAGGTGGCCTCACAGACTATCAGTGGCTTAATCCGCCATGGGCAGAAAAATTCCACGAACACTGGTGCTCTGTCGGAATCAAATGACTACGTTTGCAAAAGCCAATTTTCAGTGTCGAAATTGAAGATAAACGTCCAAAACTCCAATAACAGATTCGAAAAGTGCATGTTCCTGGAAAGCACCACTATTTCGACAAGCTCATGTATAGTGGTCCTGACAAAATTTCACATAGAAAACAATAAGTGCATGATATAAGTTCAACCTCTCAAACAAACGCGTTCATTTCATTCAGACAGAGGAAGAAGAAAACAACGTTTGGGCAGTACCATCTGCGATACCATTATAGGACAAATTGATGTCATCGGAGTTAGTTGATGTCGTCGCAACCACTGAGAAGGCGCCACTCTTTCAATATGGCACCTCGGTTGGCGTCACCTAAATGCCGCTTTCTTTCAGTGGGAGAAATCAAGGAGAAATCGCAGAAGTTGTGCAGAAGTATCCCCTGGATGCATCCAATCCATGAACATCTGGGCGCCGTTGCTCTAGCAATCATGCACACGTGCACGGTTGCCAGACTAATGACGTCCAAATGCCCATGGATTGGATAACGCGGCATCTGAACGCCTGCTTCTGCCCAACGTCTCCATGCATAAAATGTTGACGTGTTCAGCAGGTGTGGCAATTCGCCAATCCAACGATTCCACCAATTCCGAATTTCCTAAAACAGGCTGTTGTTGACAACACACCGAAAGAGGTGCCTGAGTTTCCATCCTTGGACCCATCGAAAACGCGGCTTCATGGGCCGCCATCGCCTGCCTGATTTCAAGTCAATGTTCATGTCTGTCGATGTCGCTGTTGCTGTTACTGCTACTGCTACTGTTAGTGTCAGTGCTAATGTTGATGCTTCACATTTTTATTGTTTGTCTTTCAAGTTAAGCTTGTTTTAGCACTGCGTCTGCCTGTCTAACGGCGCGCCCTGTGGCGATATTGGTTAGGAGGGATGGACGCCACTGCACAGGGCCGCCCTCACCGGCGAAGCTGCCGTGGTAAAGCTTCTTCTCCAGGCCGGGGCCCGCGTCGATGCCAGGGACAAGGTTCGCCGCACACCACACCATTTACGCGCTCACCATTCATGCAGCAATGTCTGACCACGTGGATGGCTAGCGTACAAAGTGAATGGGATGAGGGACGTGAAAAAAGCCTTGGGTATATGCACGGCCGTTGTCGTTCGCAAGGTGCAAGGGTGCCACTTGACTTCCTGAAGTCCATGTTGAAGGATTGCAGCCATCCAGCTCGCGCCTTCTTCCTCTTTCTGGCGTCCTTCATGCTTGCCGAATGTCTTTATTTGTGCCTGCGCTTCCATCACATTTTTACTTTCCCTTATGCTTTTATGTTTTCGATTGTTTTCATTAATCTTAGTCTCACACAGCATCCTGTTTATTTGTCTCAAATAGTGCTTTCTTCAAATCGAACTCATGCTGTCGATTTATATTTATATTTATATTTATATTTAATTTATATTTATATTTAATTTATATTTATATTTATATTTATATTTGTGAATGTTGCACATTACCTGGAAGATGCCCCACCGTCACCAACGACCAGCGATGGAGATAATGTAACGGTTCAAAGCATGTATTCCATGCCACATTCAGCCCTTAAAAACATTGAGTTGGTGTCGCCGAATTGGCGTTTATGTACTGCTGTTGAGTAATTGAGATCAGTCAATGCTTCATCGCGCCACCAGAACGGCGCTACGCCGCTCCACCTGGCGGCAGGCAGCGGACATGCGGACATGTGCGAGCTGCTCGTGGAGAATGGCGCCCAGGTCGATGCACAAAACGAGGTGGGCACATAGCGGACGGAAATTAGCGGCGCTAACTCAACAGGCTTGCCTTTTGGATTTGGAGCACATTTAATGCATTTCACTGGTGGTCAGTGTAGTACACTGATGTCAAATGGGAGAGATTGATGGCACCCAGATTGATGGGTAGGGGTCGATGTGCATAGACTGAGAGAATATCGAAGCCTGTCCTTCTTGACATCTTGATGTTGCTAAGGACGTCCAGAACAATGTGCCACGTGCTTCCGTGTTTGGCCCACTCAAAAATTCCCATTTGGGCCCGTCGAAGACAGATCATGCAGCATGTGTGCCCTCCTGAGTTACATTTCCCTCGTCCTGTTCCGGAACAAGCGTACGAATTTTCGGGACATGTGGTGCAGCGGGCGATATTTGGTTGCGTCACTTTTCCTGAAACGGGATGAAACTGACGGTCCGTTTGCTCGAATTACAGAATGTGCCTCAAGTGCAGTCCATATAGACTTGAAAAAATACCACCCTTTGAGATAAGGCAGGCGCATTTCTTATGTCCCAACTATCAGTGGTACGCTGATACCCATTCTGTAACAGAAGGATCTGGAAAACGCTTATTGACTTGTTAAACTAACAAGTCAATGTTAATTCTGCGCTAAAAGCAATTGTTGCCTCCATTTTGGGCTGACGCGTGGGTCGACGCGTATGTGTGCATGCGTCATTCAGCTGTGCTGTGACGTATGCTCGTTGATGCGACTTTCCATTCATATCCTTGAGGGAGAGGCCGCTGTCTCTCCCACTCTGTGCTTCCTTGTGGGGAGCCCACAGCGCGCTGGTGGCTCCACAAACTCCTTCCTTTTAACTGGTTTTCCTTGTTTGATTGACTATTGGCTGATTGATTTTATCGATTGTATTGTCGTGGATTACTTGATTGCATTGATTGTAATGACCGCTCCCTTGATCCACTGATCCGTTGGAGTGCTGATTGATGGGTTGATCAATTGCTTGAGTGGATGACTGATGGGGATGCGGACCACAGGTCGGAGAGACGCCTCTGCACTTGGCATCCCAGAGGGGAAGGGATGGGCTTGTTCGCAAACTGCTCGGCTGGGGCGCCAGCACCGCGGTGGAGGCAAACGTGAGCTCAAGGCTTCTCAACTTCGCGCCTCGCCGCCATTCGTTTTCCGAGCGGAGCGGAAGCTTCCACACTTTTAGCAAAGAGTGGTACAATTTATGAAGAACTGAGGCTTGGGCCACTTTGCCTTAAACAGGGTTAAAGCTCAGCCGCCTGAAACTGGGTGTTGGTTGGCTCGATATCTCCATCGATTAGTTGGTTGACTAATTGAATCGCCCTGTATGGTAGAATGCTCATTACGGTGGGGTTTTAAACCTTTCCACATGGTAACGTAACGCTTGGGCTTTTCTGCGTAGCAATATTAAAACAGTTTTTTTCTTTTTGCGGAGCCACATCAAAAAAAAGAGGCTCTGAAAAGGAAAACGAGGAGCAAAAAAGCGCAATGGCAAAATTTTCGATGCGGAATGGTTGAATTATCTACGGTAATAGAATGTAGAATGTAATGGAATAATTGAACAATGAAATAACAATAAATAAATAATAGAATATTCGTTAAAATTTGGTCGCAGCTCATATTGGTGGGATGGCACTGCCGCAATTTCGTCATGCATAACGTGAGATTAGTGCCCTGATGCAGTGCTTTGGAACTAAAAAAGCAGCGCTGCTTTCTTAGTTCCCAAGCACTGCACCAAAAGTTTAGGAGTTTTTCCCCTGGGCCTGACAGAAGAGATGTGGCCTCTGCGCCAACACAGGAGCTTGCAGCAGAGTCCAATGCGACGCAATGCCCGGAAGATCGTTTGCATGAAGCAAGTGCTCAATCTCGAAGATCGATTGTACAAAAAATGCACAAATGCACAAAATGTGTGTGTGCATTCGGGTGGTGTCCGCGTTGCTGGAGGAATGGTCTCCATTGTCTGGTGTCGCGTTCGTTATTCAGCTTCTGCCGCAACCGCGCGCGAATATATCGCACACAGGGTACCGTACACAGGGCAACGTACGTGGGGTATCGTACACGGGGTCACATAGGCAAGGGAAGCTTCCCGTACATGCACGTACGCATACGCCCTCGCGCATTCAAAAGTCATAAGCCATACCAGATGATGGCGTGTGCGGAAAGCCGACTTGTGTACATGTTTCAATCGGTGTGTTGCCAATGTTGAATTGGAGACAGAGAAGTGGAATGTACTGAAATTGCGCGTGCGTGTGTTAAAAGGATGGATTCCTGCTGCTTGCGCTGCACATGGCGGCCTGGAGGGGCCACAGGGGAGTGTGCGCAGCACTGCTCGAAGACGGTGCGGCAGTGGACGCCAGCAACAAGGTGCGCCGCATCTGCTATGGGCAATACGCTGGTCGGCATCTGCTGTAGCTGCAGTAAGAACGCTTGTACTGTGTGCTTTCCGTATGCTCCGCTGTTGCAAAGAGCACATAATGCAAGTAATCATTGTCGCGATGATATTGCAGGTGTTGGCTGTGTTGATATTGCGTTAGCTAGTGTTTTCATGCACCTTTTATTCCAAAATGGTACATCACATTTAAGTGTCCAGGCGCCTCCCCGTCCTATCGCAAGGTGTATGAATCCATATGTTTGTATGTTGTTATCCATTGTTTGCTAGTTGTGTTTTGAGTGCGGTGGCGGTGTGCAGGAGGGATGGACGGCTTTGCACATGGCGGCGCGAATGGGAGATGTGGCGGTGTGCCACCTGCTCATTCAGAGCGGCGCCAACATCGAGGCGGTCGATGAGGTGGGTCACGTGGCATCGAGCGTTACAAAAGAAGGATCAACTTAGGACTTAGCTGCGTGACACAGAGGATTCTTCTAGATTCGAAATATTTGTATTGTGATGTAATATTCTGGAATCAAAACAAAGGAGGGTCACCTTAAGTATATGTTGTGGACTTTGTATTGCGCCTTTTGCGGCTCCAGAGTGCCGGCTTTCAGGCTTCTGGGACTAGTTTCTGAGCTAAGGGTTTGGAAGGTGCATGGCATGAGAAATCAATATCACAGGGGCTGCTTTTCCGGCAAAATGGGGAGCACATGGCTGCCTCTTTTGACCTGATGTGTGTTATTCCTGATAGATTACAGAATTGGTGCATAATGGTCTAAATCCCGATAGACGTTGATAGAGGCGTTCACCGGATCGGCATTTTATCCGGGTGCATTGGCGTTCACGTCCACGCCGGGGCGCCGGTGTGTCTGCTGAGTCATCAGCAGATCAACTCACAGTTCTGAGATTGGTGAATTTCGGTGTCAGTGCATGAAATGTGAACGAAAGGTATGAAAAAAACACGAACGATGTATTAGACACGTTGGTGGCGCTGTGTCGCAGAACGGCCGCACGCCCCTCCACCTGTCCGCCATTTGGTCTCCCGCTGTGTGCGACGTCCTCTTGCAGAATGGCGCGGAGGTGGATGCCCCTGACGAGGTGGGGCCAGGCTTCAAATCGTGCGTCCAATTTTCCGTTCTGTTTGTTTTCCAGGTTTTCGAAAAACTGCATCGCATTTGCTTTGTTTTTCTGAAGTGTCTGTTTACGAGTTCAAGTGTCAAACCCGCCTTGTCAAAAGAGATCATGCAATATGTGTGACTGCGTTGATCTCATCCCGCTTTGCACAGCTCGCCACGCCGTCCATCGGTTCCTCGCCTGCCGCAGCACGCGGCGAGAGTGAACGTGCTGCGTTTGCTGCTATTGAGCTGCGTGCAAGGACCCAGCCTGGTTCAGAGTCGAAGCGATATACCGTGGAAAGTATGCGCAACTGTGCAAGTGACTGCAGTGGTGAATCGGCTGGGTTCTTGATTGATCGGAACTTAGATTGTTGTTAGCTGTTAGATGGTCGCACATGCAGCTGGGGCGAATCGAAACGCTGTCACTGTGAGTTGCGATGTCAGGAACTGGCACCCAGTACAGGCACTTGCGTAAACATTGGTCAACTCACCATTACACAGCAATCATAAGTTTACTGATTAGCAGTCATTCATGTGAGTGACTGATTTCTTGCTTTACGGATGGGGTGCGCTCAAGCCCACGACTGATTTTCTGGCATGCCGAGCAAGACCCACAGAATGTGACGCCCGTGCTGGGTGCCGCCTTTGGCTTACGGGGTGTGCGCGCGCGTGTGCGTCAAGATGCATTAAATCCTCCAAGCACAGGTCACACAGTGGAGCACACCCTTCCCTAACCAACTACACAGCGGGCGCCCTGTTCTGCTTTGCAGCGCTGCAGGCGCCGCCGTCGACAAGAATGAAATCGAAAGCAGATCGCATGCACAAACCAGCAAGCACGTGCTCGGGGGGCGTCCCCAAGAACCGTTTCGCCACTGTCTGTTCACTCCTGTGTGTGCGTGCGCTTTCAGTCAGGAAACACACCGCTCCACAGGGCCACTGAGTACGGCAACGCCGGGGTGGCTCGGTCGCTCGTGGAGAGGGGCGCGAACAAGCTATTAGTTAACAAGGTGGGGACCCCCTGATACGCCGTGCTCCAGTCTTTAATCAAGTCCTTTGATTACATTTGTCAAACGAAGGATGGCAAAGCACTGCCTTGGCATTTTGTAGGCGACGTTGGCCGTCGATTCATGCAATTGTTGACCCGTATCTCAGTATTTGTTCATTTCTATGCCCCATTGATTGACATGATGTTTTCCTCAGTGCGCAATTCTAGTGCGCCTGTTGGGACATGCCAGATCTTTCACCCCGCGGAAACGACGGCAGTGGCACCGTTTGGTTACAGCGGCCGGACATGGGATGTCTCGCATTTTGTTTCGGTGAATTTTTAGCCTTGTCGCGCCGTTGCGCGCTGGCCGCATCTGTGGAAACACTGGTTGGGAAGGAGGTCGAACCCATAATGAAATTTAAAGGAAACGGGTCTCAGGGAGGACCGGTCTCGGTACTGGCCAGTGCATCTCGCGAGCGCCCTTCCGTGTTGGGCCTCTCCGGGTTGCATTTTTGAAAGAATGCGTATATGCAAAACTATGTGCTTCCTCTGTCCGGAATTGAATCATCACGTTTGCTTGAGAGGACGGATTTACAGCGCGGATTTATTCCACTGCATTTGATGATGGCTGCTTTGGATTTGCTGCAGTTGATTCGGCCATTTGTTGTTCATTATTTATCGTCCATATGCTTGGTTATTTCTTGTATTTGTCATTTGTTTTGTTATTCATTTATTGCTGCTTGCAGGATGGCAAGCTTCCTAGGGACGTGGTGGGCGCTTCCTGCGCTGGACAGCTCAAGCGATCGAGGTCGATGAACCTGACGATCACGCTGACGTCACAGGGATCATTCGGCGTGCGTGACGTCATCCAACACAGGATGTCAGCCCCGTGAGTGCGCTACCATACTACGCCCGTGACGCGCGTTACGCTGTTACGCGTTACGTGTCGCGCGCTCTGGGGGTCAGTCTACAGGAATTCATCAGAACGAATGAGGTACCAAGCGGAGGGAGCCGCGCGCTTTGGATAAAGTACTGGGCAATGGCGCCGCTAAAGTACTAGCAGTGGATGAAATACTGACATTGGATAAGGTACTGGCAGTGCACTTGCCCGGATGGGGTATGTCGGTGGTTTAGACCCATTGCCTGTCCGAGGCAGTCCAGTAGAGGCGGAGCGTGTGGGAGAGAGTGCATAAGTGTGACAGAAAGTTGCGACGCTTTGCTGTGGCTCGTGAGCATGGCGCTGCGCGCAAACTGCAGGCCGGGAAGGCCTGCAATAAATGGATGAACGGGATAATTAAGTTGTAGTTAATACAACCATTTAATTGAAGATAACATGGAATAACGCGGATGGGTGGGGCGCCTTTGGCGTGGAAATTCGAATGGAAGTTATTGCCAGTACAAGACGCATGACACATTTTTTTGGGGGATTTTCGACGCGGCTTTGTTCAGATATAAATTTGGTAAACTTAGTTTATTTTACTACTGTGCGGTGCCCTCATGCAACACCTGCCAGCCTCCCATGGGGCAACCACCTGTGCAGATGCCTCATTGCTGTAAGCAACCAATTGTACCGCCACCTGAGTGGGCTTGCACATGGAAGCCCAGGAAGTGCGTAAGCTACTGGTTGTACTTGAAAAACCGGCAGCACGTGACCACCAGTGGTGTCCCAATAGGTGAACTTCTGCTGGTACCCCAGTACTGGTACTGCAGCATTGCAAACATTATGATGGGTGACATCACCCGTGGTCCCCTGTTCTTCTGTGCCGTTGGACATTATGAATGCGTGTGTACTTTCACACATTTCTGTAGCATCTTGTTTCATTCTTTGCCAAAGACGCCTGTGTATGGGGCGCCGGCCAGTCTTAAGATCATGGAGAAAAGCCAATACGGTCTGCCTTGTATTTGCCATACAAGACTGCAGTCTTTCTCAATGATCTTTAGTCTAGCTGAGGCATCACACGACTGGATAGCTAAAGACGGACAGATCTAGTCAGGTGGCCCAAACGCACGGTGGTGCAAGATTGTGGCGTTATAAGGCGTGGAATCTGCTGTGCCCGGGAGACATCACTGAATTGGCCATGGTGCATGATGTGGATATGCTCACAATAGTCAAGGACATGGGTGTGCTCACAATAGTCAAGGAAAGAGCTACCTTTACAGCTCCGCAACTCGCAACACTCAGTGCACGAGTGTCACTGGCAAATGCGGCAAGGTTCGAGCAGACGGGATGCAAGCAAAAGAGGTATTACATGCTGCGCTAATTGCACAGTTTTGCCGCATTCATTCTTTGAATAATCAAATGGATAATGTACATTACTTCCAGTCAACGTCGTTGCGCCACTGGCGTCAACGACCCCTGCCCAAAATCCCTCGTGCGTTCCCTTTTGTTGATTCGCCTTTGCCATCACGAAGGCAAGATACTCAACACGTATATAGTCAGACAACCCGGTGGCCGGAACGCTTTGCTTATGTCGTCGCCACAGCTTGGCCAAAGAAGCTCGCCACCACCCCACGCCCCTTGGATCGCCCAGGCGTGACGTTCTGGAATATGCAAACAAATATGGCAATGAAAAATGGAATAACAATTGATATAAAACCGACATAAAATAGCATGCCCCCATTCCACAGCACTAACCCCAAGCGCACCATGCCCAAAGAGTCCTCAAGGATAAGGATGTTCAATGAGTCGCTGCACCCAACGGTCAACGGTCGCTGCACCCACCAGAGTCAACGTACAGCGGCGCCATGGGCCACAAGGCCATCCCCTTGCTCCACACTAGGTGCGAAGTCTTCCCCCGGCCAGCCCCTTGACTCGCTGGAAAGGCGGGTGGACGCGGAAGCGTGGGCGGCACCCACACAGAGAGAGCTCGCAGGGAGCAAACCTCCTGCGCTACAATCAGTGGGAGGAATGCAATCCCAAGCTTCCTGCCGTACTGAGCACTGGTACTCGCGCTCCATGTACATAAGCCATAACTGTGCCGATACTCGCAAACGTGTCGTCCCACACAACGACGCCAAAGATAAAGCCCTCGCTGGCAAGTGCACCGCCGGTCCAGCACATCACCCTGACCCACCCTCCCTAAAGCGCATTTTTTGGGGTCCAGGAGGGGACTGCCCATTGCGTCCCTGCAATTCCTTCCGCCTTCCCTTTTCCTTTGTTCTTCCAATCCTTCTGTTGCAATCAATCCTCCAGTCCAGTTTTGGAATTCGAACAGCAGCGCCCATCTGCCCAGCTCCTCATGGCCAACACCCCGTAACGCCCAGCACCCAACACTCCAGCACCCTCCCTTGGGCGCGGTCCAGATGGCCTTGCGCCCGGCCTAGGCAACTTCTGCCTCTGTTGGCTTGCCCCGCCAGAAGACCGCCAGGGTTGCACCCATGATGGCCATCCACACGACTGACACCGCTGCTGGGACGCGGACCATGTACTCGCCGAAATGCAGGGAAGCCAGCAGGAAGCTGAAGGCGGAGCTCTTCATCGCGGTCTCGATCGCCGTCGTACGGGATGTCTTCTCTGAGCAGTTGAATAGCCTGGTGGCAAGGTCATCCGATTGCGATATCAGCACAGGTGGGTTGTGCATTGTGTGCATTTCACGTACACAGCAGTGCAACAAGAACTGTGTGCAAGCGTGCTGTGCAAGTAAAGCAGCGTGCCGCTGGGAAACCATGACAGGGCACTGCTGCTGCACCTTCAAGGCGGTGACGATGAGCACAGCCAAATGGTTACACATCCATCAGTTGATCCCCAGCCAGAGCTGAAATCTGGGAATCGTTGAAACAATTGTCAATCTTATCTCTTCCACTGCCTTTCACACTGAATACTGTGCTCTGTGTGCATTATTCCTACACGATCGTGATCAGATCAATAAGCCACACGCATAGGTTCGATGCATTTATGCTTTTATTACCATATGTTTTTTGTCTTTGAACATTGCCCATAAACTTCTATTCAATTTCGTTCATTCTGCTCCCTAGTCTGTGAACCACCAGAATCTGACACTGTCACGGTATTGTTGCCTGCTGCTGGCATTTGCTGCTGGCATTTGCTGCTGGCATTTGCTGCTGGCATTTGCTGCTGGCATTTGCTGCTGGCATTTGCTGCTGGCATTTGCTGCTGGCATTTGCTGCTGGCATTTGCTGCTGGCATTTGCTGCTGGTATTTGCTGCTGGCATTTGCTGTTGGCATTTGACACTGCCCACCCACCCACCCATCTGCCACCAACCCAGTAACCCAACTCCCCATGGGATGCTGTGTTTGAAAGTTACAAGCACTGAATCCATCCAGCATAGAAATGTTGAAAGGGTTGACAATGCACACCATACACGAGTACATGGAATAAGAACTACACGGAGAAGACAGGAAATGAATGTTGCATACATGGATTAGAAGCAAATACAGACCAACTCAGGAAAAGGTGGGAACAGATTCGGACACAAAACACTAGAGAATTGGAAACAAAAATTAACAACAAAAATTGGAAATAAAAATGCATAGAATTAGAGATGCAAGGAGAAGATTGGAACGACTGCAGCAGGCACAAAAAGAGAAGAAGCAAGGGTGGACAAATTGGGAAAAGCTGGAAACGAAATCGCACACACCTGCAGGCGGCGTAGCCAGCGATGCCACCGACCAGGTGGAGGAGCATGCAGACAATCTGAAGGGGAAGGCCCGCGTTCAGGATGGGCTCGGCGCACTGGGCCACAGCAGCGCCGACGAGCACGATCGTCGATGTCACGCCCACCACGGGGCAGAAGGGTTCTATCTTGCGCATGGTCTTGAAGGCAATTTGGTTGAGACTTGCACCCAGGATGATGGGCAGGAGGACCACCTGCACCACAGATTCTGTGCATAGCTTCTGAGTTTCTGACCTGCTGAAAGTGGCACAGCCTGTTCACCAACTTGATGGTGTTGGGCAACGTTCTAGGACACAGTTGGTATGCAGGCAGTGTTTGTCCTTTTTACAGTTTTGTAGCTTTCATAGATTTCCCAGGTTTTCTGGGTTTTCTCTGTTGCTGCGCTGATTGGTCCTAGGAACTGCTGAACAGTCCTGGGAACTGCAGGCTGCAAACTGCAGTTGTTGGAACAGCCACTACGAACATGGATCTTGCACCCTGCAGCAGCAGTAAAATCCAACCATTTTTCGATCATTTTGCTGAGAATATCATTCAGCACACCTGCACCCTAAACCACTTTGAATTGCGATGCACGATCTCGTACAGCACAGCACCGTGGTGAAAGCAATCGGCACTGGGACTTGGGACATGGTTGCAGTAATTTCCATGAGAGTTCTGAGCGTGTTGGGATGACTGGAGAGCAGCCCATTTCAAGTCTTGAATTTCTGAGAGATTTGGTCACAAAGAAACAAATATACTGACGAACCAGATATCGAACACAAAGCCTGCTTGAAGCACATCATGAACTGATCAATCAGACCCTTTATACAGAATTGGATTGAAAGCAATCAATCAACCAACCAAGCTTTTCACAATTGCCGCCCTTGCCGGCCTCCCCCTATCCCCACCTGCACTGTGGAGATCGATATGCCGATGGCGTCCACGGGGATGACCGCCCCCAGCGCCAGCTTGCAGATCAGCGGCGTCATCACGATGCACCCCAGCGTGGTGGATGTTGTCATGAGCACCGACAGGGCCACGTCCCCCCGTGCGATGTAGGTGCACAGATTCGACGCCTGGCCCCCGTTGGTGGCCCCCACCAGGACCAGCCCAGCCACAAAGGCTGTGGACAGGCCAAACGCCTTCCCCAGGGCATACCCCAGGATCGGCATGATGCCGTAGCAGGCCGCAAAGTTGAGCGCCACGGGGCCAGGCTTCTGCAGCACGCGCTTAAAATCATCAAAGGTGAGCGTGACGCCCATGGAGAACATGAGGATGGCCAACCCGGCGGTGAAGTACTTGGTCGTGAGCCATGAAAAGGTGGCGGGCTGCATGACGGCCGCAACCGCGCCGCCAGCCAGCCAGAGGGGGAAGAGGAGGGAGTACCACTCGCTGAAGGCGGTGAAGGCGGCCATGAACCCCCCCTGCGATGCCTGGGCACAGGGCGGGGGCGGATGGCGCGGGGCTGGGCGGAAGGAGGGGAGGGGATCGGCGCCGAAGGTGCCCGGCCTGCGGAGGGCATCGATCGTGTTATCGATCAGGAGACTGGCGGGGAAAGTTGGGCGGCGAGCGGTGGTGAGAAGAGGAGACGGGAGAAATGAGGCAATGGGGATGGGCACAGGCCCCAGAGAGAGGCGAAGATTGTGGCGATTGCGAGCCGCGTGTTGAGCCCATGGGGGCCGGCGGCCGCCAGCAGAGTCGCTAGATCCAGGGCCGGGCAGACAGAGGGGCAGGAGGTGTGACTATGGGGTGGGCCTTGTTGGCTTTGCAGTCCTCCGCACCGGACCCCCCCTGGCGATCCCGCCCATGCGCCCCACCTCCCACCGAGGGCTGGCCCCGGGCGCCACCGGCGTCGCGCCGATTCGCAAGCGCCAACGACCACCGGTATCAGAGCGCTCCGCGGCCCTTCGCGATGCTGCCAAACTTCCCGAATGCCCAACGCACACGAATCGCCAACGCCAACCGCGGAAAGGGAATGGGACCCGGGGGGGTGCGTTCCCGTCCGTGAAGATCGGCAGGGGGTAGCTGCCGTCCGGCGCTCATCGGTTCTTCCGCTCAGGACGGTCGCCCCGCCAATCAACCAACCAACCAATCAAGCCACGGTCTCTCGTTGACCAGCATCGCCCCGGCAGACGCAAAGGAGAAGGATGTGCAGCCAGCGCGGTGCGCTCCCGTCGGCAAGGATAGATGGGGAGTGGTTGCCGCCGGCACTTTCCGGTTCCCAGACAGGACGGCCACCCGGCGGTCAATCAACAACCAATCAGCGCCATTGTCTCCAACAGCCAAAGTCCGCAGCCCTGGATGCGCCTCCCATCCCCCAGCGCCCCCGCGCTGGGCATCCGCCCCCGCCCACCTGCTCTGCCCGCCCACCGCGCAGCGAGATCGCCCCGAGCGGTGGCCATCAGCCCCCAGGGCCGCGCGTGCCTGGCGGGGGACGTGGGGAGCCTTGGCCTGCGGAGGTGACCGAAGCGGGGATCGGGCCAAGCCGCGGGATCGCACAGCGGAGGGTCCGGAGAGCGGCGTGGACGCCATCGTGCGCGTCGGGCGAGGAGGTGGGGGAGGGCGCGGGGCCCTTTGCGGGTGGGGATCGGGTTGCTGCCCTTGGCGAAGGTCTGCAGTCGAGCCTTCGTGTTTTTGGTGGGCTTGGGTGGGCGTCAAGGACGGGAGCTGGCCCATCAGTCACCCAGAGGTGGTCCAGTACTTTGTGGTGAAGTTGGGAGCCTCGAGGTCTGAGAATATATTATGGGGGGCCGGTTTAGCGAACACTTGACTAACTACAGGACAGGTTTAGCGACCACCTCGCAGCGCCGAAATCGCGGGCGATGGGATGGCAGGGGCGCCGGGCCAGCAGTACATTGCGCCTCGGGGGGGACACTGGTGTTCAAAGATCTCCCAGGGATGTGGGGGAGATGAACTAATACACCTCCCCTTGAGAACTGTAGCGCTGGGGCCTATCGCAGTGAAATAAAGTACCACAGAATGGCGATAAGCCGTCCGCTGAGTCGCCGGCACCAAAAGCCAGTATGGGCCAGGTAGGCCGGGTGCAGTGTACCCCCTACACCGGCGGACAGGGTACCCTTTATACCGGCAGCCAGTCTACTCTCTACACCGGCAGCCAGGGTACCCACTACACCGGGGGCTAGGGTATCCCCCACACCACCGGCCACGGTACTCCCTACATTGGCATATAGGATAAAGAGAATCGAACCACGCAATGGTGGGCATATCTAGCGGTGTTTGAGGAACCGCACAAGACGCCTTGAGGAACTCACAGTACTGCTAGACTGCATTAAGTACTACTGAAGGGCTTAAAGTACTGCAGGGATTTAGCGACCACGGACAGGTTTAGCGACCACTCAGCCGACTTGTCACCAGTGGTCGCTAAAACGTCACCCCCCCTGTAACCCCTCTGTCTTTTTCCCTTTTCCGTAAGGATCCCTTCTCCTTCCGTTGGCAAGGCCAATGCGAGTCAGTGTGTCAGTAGTTTTTAGGGTGTAGGGTGTCCGAAACAAGAAGGGATCTTCACAGAAAAGACAGAGGGACTAACTACATACCCCAGGGTCACAGAAATGTTGAACTGTGTAGTTGAACGAGCAAGTTGCCTTTGCAAATTGGTGACTGATGGCACGAATATCGCTGAAATGTGAGGCCTTAAGAAACGGGCTGTAACGTCACAGATTTCTTCCAGATCTGCGCCTCGACGCTCGCAAATTTCGCCCCATGAAAATCTGGCATCGGTGGGGTACTGGAGCAGGTGCTGAAAACATCTGCCTGACCCCACGGCCGAAGAATGTCCCACCCTCGGATATTTGCTAAGGCAACGCATTCGACACGCAACAGCGTTGCCCGAACGAACGAAAAAGGCAGCGCGCTTTCGTCGCAGGCGGGCACCCACACGCCGAAATAGATCCCAAAACAGCCCCCCAGAAGCGACGAAAAAGCAACACAAAACACCCCAATGCACCCCCAAAGCACCCAAAAAGCACCCAAAAAAGCACCCAAAAAGCACCCGACAAAGCACCCCAAAATACACCCCAAAAAACACCGAAAACACATCGAAAACACCCAGAAAAGGCCAAAAAATGCACTAAAAAAACCCAGAAAGCACCAAAAAAGCACCCAGAAACGGTCAAAAAGCAAAAAGCGCCTCAAAACACCCCAAAAAGCAGCCCCACGTGTCCCCGCCCCGCCCTCATGTCCCTCCCACCGCCTCCCTCGCCCCATACCGCGCAATCCAAAAATCGGCGGCCGATCTGTGCACCCAGGTTCCCCTCCTTTCCTCATGGGTCGCATCCTCACCGCCCGGGGCGCCCGGACGCCGCTGGGCGACCCGCCCGTCGGGGATCCCCGCCGCGTCCCGCGCCCCCTCGCGCGATCGACAGGCGCCGATGCCGGATGCAGGGCGCCGATCCGCATCGGGAGGGCCGCCGAGAGCGCATTGCGCATCGGAGCGCCGGCCAGGCCGTTTGCTGGCGATCGGAGAGCACGGTGCGATTTTAAGGGGGCAAGAACGGGGGGCTGAGCCTAGCAGCAAGGATTTGCTTGAATTGTCAGAAGGAGGACGAAGAACAGGGCGTTTAAAGGGGTTCCCCGACTGAGCAAGAGTTTGCGCCACTCTGTGCCGTACTGCCGAATGATGACGATGAGTCTCAGGTGCAAGGAGAGAGCGCACGAGACAGGCGCCAGGGGCAGGGGTAGTAGCAGGGGGGGGAAGGGGGGAGGGGACGTTTTTGCGCGGGGAGCGTGTGATGATGGCGTTGCAAGGGGGCGCTTCGGCGGGCGGTTTGGCGGTGATGGCGGACTGCTTTTCGAATGCGGCCATCTTCGCAGAGCGGGGCCACGCCGCAGCGCGAGCCCTTTGCTGCCCAACGCCTCGCGGTGGCAAAGGCCGCGTCCCCTCGGTCATGGGGACTCGCAATCAATGTTGGCGGGCCGATTGTCCGGATGAAGATCACCCCAAACGTCAGGGTCCAAATCGTGCGCGTCGCCCTTGGGGGTTTTGGGGCGAGGGGGGCGATCAGACCGCCAGGAGGGTTTGCGTTCCGATGCTTTTGAGGCGCTAGCAGAGGGACGCTGTTTGACAATCTGAGTTCGGCATAGACACGTGACATGCCCAGTGTGTCGAATTTTCACGCTGCCGGTAAGGGTTGTCGTCAATTCATTCTGATGGTTTGTGAGTCCTTGCCCATCTGTCTTGTCGGCGATGGGCGCGTTTGGCTGCGACATCGCATCATTTGTCATCGGCGGCCTTGGCAGGGGCGACAGCGGCCCATCCTGAAAAGCCCCCACCCCTCTCGCCTTAACACCGCTCATGGCCATCGAAGATTGGTTTTGGATGAAATCGAATGCAGCCGATTGCACTTGTCACATCCCCAACGTGAAATTGATGCTTTGGCATATTTCAGGTGGCTAATGGCGGCGACTGCAGCCCCATTTTTGATTGCAGTTGGCTGTTTTCTGCGTCTCTGGCCAACAAACGCCAAAGCATGTGATGTAACCTGCTGGTGGCCTGCAACGCCCTTGCCCTGGGCATCCCTTGCCCTGGGGTGTTGGCTTGTGCTGTAAAATAGTTGCCTGCTTTGGCCGACGCAAAGCAAAGCAAAGTCCACGCACCTCAACGTTGATTTTGGGAATTAGATGTGCGAGTGCACCACTGCAGTTTACACCTCAGAGTTAATGCATGCTTTTTGTATGCGAGTGCTTGTTCCATTGCTTGTGTGTATTTTTGTATTCCGCTGTTTGTGCAAAGCTACATCATGTAATGGCATTCTCAAAAAGTGAACACGCAGCCCCTGCAGCTGACGACCGATGTTGGGCAACATTCCATTGACAGTGCTTTTCATTCCAAATACGAATTTGCATTCAGGATGCATTCGATACACAGTATTTGTTCAAAACTGTTGTTCATTTTCTTCAGTGCGTGGTGCGAACAGGGGGTTGCTAACAAATGGGGAACAATCACTTCTGTGGATGTCGTGGATTGCAAATGCCAATCTTCACCTTGAGGGGGCTTGACGCGATTGTGCTTTGCGAAGGCGAATGTAAGCAAAGGAATTCGACCTGTGTCGCAGATGCCTTGTGTCTGCTGCAAACATCGACTCGTTGCCAAACAGGCCTGTGGATGAGCATCCAGGATGGGGACTTCTTGAGCGCATTGCTGAAGCTTTGACAACCTTGTTTCCTGTTTGGGTGAGCATCTCTATCCATCCTTATGGATGGCCACGTTTGCATGTGTGTTGAATTGTGTTGTCGGGTTCATAGAACATGCCTTGCATTTGAAGAAATGATGAAAAGGCCACCAAATGCCTGGTGTGCATGAGTATGATGACTCCTTGGTGCAGCATTATGCGTCAAAGTGCAGAAGCATGCCAACTATGTGCTGCCTCCAAAGGTGGGATCCTGTAGCTGTGTAATGGCCAACAGCAATGTTGTTTTGAATCTCATGCATGGTGCTGGCGATGCATTAGTCTTAAGAAAGAGGGACAAATACTTTGCCACAAATTCTCCATGAATGCGGCACATTCAAGTTGGTGCCCAGGAATGAAAAATCGTGGAGAAGGCCATGCTGCAGTTCCCAAAGAGATCTGTGGCTCATATGGAGACTGGGCGAGATGTACCTAAACATGTGGGCAGTTGTTGGGGCAAATAACTCAGTTTGTGAGAAGTTTTGTGTACACTTATTGCAAGACTATCAAAGTGCAGGCAACATTGTTGATAACTCTTCGATCCTCACCGGATCCTTTCTGCATTGGTTGTTACTTGGATTTTGCAAACAAGGGATCAAGCCTGCAACAATACCCAGCTAGTTTAACCCAAGATGTCCCTGAGGTGGCAACTGTGGTCTCAAATGCGATGTAAGGATGAAATAATTGTTAATGCTATTATCGCAGGGAAATGTGCCAGAATCATTTTTGAGTTGAAATATCCAAGCTTGTTGAATCAACATCGACTCTTTTTGAGTTCACTGTTGAATCACTTTTGCACTTTGTGTGCACTGCGCTTCGAACGCTTTTCCCTCGTCATTATTCCCCATCAGCGCGGACCTGGATCCAATTTTCAACATTACATTCGAGGCATAAGGTGCGATTGCATCGTTGTGGAAGGCGTGCTGGCCTCATGTTCATCCATTCTCGGGAATGCCCATATCGCAGGCAACAAACACCCATGCCAACATTGAATTGTGCTAGTTTGGAAATAACAAATGGAAACATGCAACTTACTAACTACTTAGTACTCAGTACTTTGGGAACATTGGCAACACCGGCATCAACTCAATACTTTGGCAACCCTATCACAGGTGGAATGCTGTGTTGGCAAAAAAATTGGGGCTGAAATTTGGCATAGTATTTTGGATTCGAAGAAAACGTCTTGTGTCTTGTGTTGAATGCCTGCAGGTGTGTCTGGGAGTTGTTGTGGGGATCACAAAGCCGTCTGCTGTCACATGGTTCTCTAGCGACCTGTTCACTGGTGCGTTGGGGTTCCTCATGTTGTCAATGGGTCTCACAATGACGGTCCAAGACTTCAAGGATGTGAGTAGCTGTCGACCCAAAGCGACCCAAAGTGATGCATCACAACAGGGAGATCCCACAGCTTTCACGCTTGTTTTGTTGGCTCAGTTCATTTTTGCCTGTGGCAACACTTTGCCCAATTACATACCAAGTGACCAAGTGGTACATAACATGTACTATATTTGTACAGCATATGTACTGCACACATACAACATATGTACTACATATGTGCACTGAGTCTTGCACTCCCTTTGACCAAAACTGCGGTTCTGGATGTGCTTAAGTTTTGCATCAGCTTCAGATGCAAATTCTCTTTCTTTCAGTGCATTCTTGACAGCATTGGACTGCCTACTGTTCCTCGAGGTTCTGCGATTCGACACAAGGAAAATGTTGTGAGTAAAGCTGTGCCTGGCATCGCCCTGGGCAAGGATCAAGAGCCCTTCTGCCTTAAAATGTAATTGACAACAAAACTCGCTGCATTACAGAGATTAGACAGCCAAGCCAAGCAAGGCGGCAGCCCCTTGCAAGAGTAGTGCTTACCATGGAGTTTTCTTTGTCTGAAATTCCCTCCTGGCTGCCACAAGGACGGCTTATGCACTCAGGCAGTTGCAACCTGCAGTGACATCATGCTGACTACATGATGATTGGCCTGCTGTTTGCGACCAACGGGCCTTTGTGGCATCTGATGTGTCCAGCATATGGCCTTGAGCCCAACCCAGCACCATGCCAACCATAGTTTGGAACCTGGAATCTGAAGAAAAAAGGAAAGAAATAATCAATGTGGTGCTGAGATTGAATAAATTGTGCAAAAGAAAAGTAGCTTATTGTGTTGAATTACAACATTAACTACAAGTTTACAACATTACTTGATCATAGTACTGAGTTACCTACACTATGTATGCAAATTCGCAGTCATGCACTGGATGGATGGTCTGCAACTTTGGCAGCAACTGATGCACCAAAGTGCGTTGTTGCCCATTTTCAATTTGGATATTCCTGTTTGTGATGTTTGTTGCAATGGTTCTTTGTATGTGACATGTTGTTATTGGTCCTGCAGTGTGCAAAAAGGCCATTGCCTGTGATCGCTGGATTTTTCGCCCAGTATTTGGTTAAGCCAATGCTTGGTTATGCTCTTGCTAAGGTGCGACACTGGCAGCTCTTGCTCTATTGTGCTGATTCTTGCATCTCATTTTGTAGCGCACAACAGAATATGTACCCAAAATTTCTAACACTTGGTGAAGTGTCGATATTGTATAACAAACGATGAAAATATTTGCATTCTATGACATTTGGTAAGACATGACACTGCGGTGCCCTTGCACGCTTTGGTGGACACTTTCCAACCACAGCGTTTGCTGTCTCTCTTGGAGCTCAGCTGTTGTGTATAGTAACATGTTGATCACATAAGTGATTTGATGGTAAGCATTGTGATATTAAGGACTGAGATGGTCGCTGTGGCAGCCGCCTTCTGGCAGACCAGAACAAAATTTTTGTTCCCCAGTATATGAGTGACATTGATGCGCAACTCACCGCACTATGTGCTGACAACTGGTAGCTAGGGGCTGTGCCTCCAATGTTCCCTGCCAATCCCCTTGTTCTGATGAGTGTAATTGTAATTTCCAAATAGAAACTTTTATCCGCATATGGACAATTTCCAATTGAAGTCTTGTATCAGCATCCAAGGATTCAATAGTTGCCCATGCAAACGGAGCATCCCCTGCTTGTGCCTGATCTTCTGGCACCATGGTGAATTTTACTGCGATATTAATTTCATTGAATATCTGCTGTTTGTTGCATTGATGATAGTTGATTTGTTTTGTGACAATTTTGCTACTATCTATTTGCTGTGTCGTTTTGGTTTAAATTGTTTCCCTGCTTGCTGTAGGTGCTTCACCTGGGCCCAGCATTGGCAACAGGCCTCATCCTTGTGGCTTGCTGCCCTGGGGGACAGGTAACCATGTTGGCGAATCTGCATGGGGCACCTTGTTGAAAGAGGACATATTGAATCCTTGCAACCTATCCTGCGATGCCAAAGTGTGCACATTAAGTAAATCGTTGGCACCCCAGGAACTTAATTCAACTTGTGTTATATTGTATTGAGTTTGCATCAAATTTCAAGATTGTACACAAGGATATTGTTTCACCATGTCTGATTACATCTGGTGTAAAAATTACATTTACTAGCACCTGGATGAGCATGCCCTGGCAAATTTCCAATGTCGCCAAGAGCATCTGGTGCTGCCAGGAATGCCTGATGACACCGATTCAATCCTAAAAGGACATTGCCTTTGTCGCCTACAACAGCCAATATCGATTGTTGCTCCCATCTTGGCCACTCTTCACAGTGCAGTATGCACTGCAGTCTTGAGCATGGAACCACCTGAAACGGCCGAAATTATGGCCAGGGAGACTGCCAACCTGCGATGCCATTTTCCTTCTGGTGTGTGAATTCGTTGCTGCATTCGCTGTTCATTCGTTGCCTTTTGTTCTTCACTGAATTCCTAGTTTTGGTCAGTATCTCCTCCATGATTGGCCCAAAATGATGTAACATAGCCTTTGCGTCTGCAAGGCAGAACAGAACAATTGCCCTCACGCAGACAGTCAGTTGTGCTAAAGCCTTAAAAGTCTTGAGGAATGAAATTAGCCTACTTGTAAAATCTAAAACTTGAATTTAAAACATCCATTTGCAAGCTACTATAATTCAATGTTCGCCGCTGCCCTGTCAAGGTGGCCAAACTATGGCAGACGAACTCAACTTCCATTGACCCCTTAATGGACAACCAAAGAACACATGGGATTTCGATTCTAGGAGGCGATGCAAGCAAGTTGCCGAACACTTTCTGCAGGAAGTGCATGGGTGATTTTGCACATGTTATTTCCTAAACTGGGGCATCGTTTCACCTTCAGGTGAATTGATGCCAATTGTTAACCAAGAAATTACTCGTCCTGATGCCTCCCAGCCATTCACCCTTCTATGCATTGGCACAAGCAGTTTGTACTGTTGCCAGTGACAAAGTGGCGCTCTGTCAGCAACAGTGGACTGGTAGAAGGTATTGTTTCATTGTGAGGGGCTTGTAAGCCGATGGAACTCTCTGGACAAACTGATGCAGTCCGATCCAAGTCTGTAGCACACCTGCCATGACCAGTGCGGCAGTTTTGACATTGCTGTGATGGGTGCAATCGTTCATTGCTCTTCTTCCCTTTGGAGAGTACATTTTACAGTGTCATCACCATGGCTCAATGTCATTTCGTTTCCTTGTGATGCCTCCCTCCTGGCTGTCCGTGCAGTCGTCCAACGTGGCCAGCTACATCGCCAATGGCGATGTTGCCCTCTCTGTGCTGATGACCACTGCCTCCACAGTGGGGTCCATCGTGATGACACCACTGCTGACCAAACTCCTGGTCGGCACCCTCGTCCCCGTCAATGCCATGGTAAGATAGGACTTTCTGCTGAATCTCATTTAGTCTACCTTTTGCATGTGCTTGTGGATCGTGCTTTTGATCTTTACAATTTCTTGTTGATTCCGACATGCCTCAGTGTTGAATGCTGCACAGCTGACAAGTTCTGTTGTTGGTTTTTGTACACTCTGCACCACTCACTCCTTTCCTGTCAATCATTGTCGTAATCTGCATTTCTGGTATCTGTTCTTTTGCAATTCAAGTTGCACCGAAATTTGACTCGCTGTCCACGCCTGCGCCATGCTGTACCTGGTTCCCTGGTTTGCATGAGATTGGCTTAAGCCTACCGTGCTCAAAGCATTTCAAGATGAGAGGGGCTTGTTTCAACGCCGGCAAATAGCACTATCCCTGTTTTGCACAGAGGCTCATCCATGGTCGCCTACAGACCACAGGAATGCAGACAATACAGTCTGTCTTTTCCATCGAAATTTTCAAAGGAACTTCCATGCTGTTGCCCACATTGTTGTTGGTAGTCTGGCAAGAGGAAGATTCAGCACTCCCTTGTTGCATGGCGAGAGCAAGCAACGTGCGCGATTCCTTGCTTGGGGGGGGTTGCGGATGGGGTCATCCGCTGCTGGATCTCTCTCCCTCTGATTCTTTTGTTGCAGCGCCCGCTACGCTCGCATTTCCTTTGTTGTTCGATTGTGTTGTTACTTTTTTAGTTCGTTGAAGTTGTTTGGTGTTGTGCATCGTATGCTTGTCATCTTTCTTTGGGAAGCTTCTGCTTCATCGTCAGTACCATGAAAAGGATCCTTGTACAGCAATTTGCTCAATGGGGATTTCGAATCTTCTGGCCGTTCATTCTTTTGGCTTCTGTAAGTATTTTTTGTGTTGGCAGGGTCTGGCAGTCTCGACTCTGCAGGTCATCTTGCTGCCTACCCTGCTGGGCGTGATGATCAATGAGATGGCCCACAAAACGGTCAAAAAGATTACTCCACTGCTGCCTGTCATTGGTAGGACTTATTTTGTTTGACTTGGTAATTTACTTGTTTGCTCACCGGACTTCTTTTGCACTGTGTGCCGCTGTGTGGGTAGGACACTCTTTGGGGCATTGAGGAAGACGAGTCTGTGCTTTCCACAGTGCACGCAAGGTTGGCTGTGTTTTACAGGTTTAAAGGCATTTATGCCTCTAGCGTTGAGCCACTGTGCAGTCGAATCCATTGATTACCAGTAATAGATAAGTTGACAAAATCGATAAGTCTTTGTTTATTAGTCTCAATTGATGAGCTGGTTTGTGATAGACTGACAGACTGATTTGCTGTCAGGCGTTGCCCTTACCACCGTCCTCACGGCAAGTCCTGTGGGCCAGTCAGCTTCGGTACTCAAAGTCAATGGCCTGAGGCTTGTGCTCCCAGTTTTCCTGTTGCACGCTATTGCCTTCCCCTTTGGCTACATCCTGAGCAGAGCCCTCCGGTTTCCTGAACGGGAATCCAGGACCGTTTCCATCGAGACAGGTGAGGAGAAGTTATGCATTGCTCTCCTTCCTTGTATTCTCTTATCCAGGGGTGTTTGCTTGTGTGCTTCTTCATTGTCTTTAATACATTGCCATATTTTCTCACTTAGCGACAATTTAATACTCTCACTTTTGAGAGTCCAGGTGCCCCCTCCCCCCCCTCCGGCCCAGCGCAAGAGATGTGGGTCAACTCATCAGAAAGTGCAAGGCGCTGTGGAGCACCATGATCGAATTATGCAGGCTCTAAGAACAGTAGTTCAGCACTGTGCTGGCCCTTGTTGTATCAGCATTTGTGGCAGATCGCATGGTTCATTCACCACAACGATCTGAACCAGGAAGGAAGGCTCACAAGCACACGCACGCTCGCGCACGCACGCACGCACGCACGCACACACGCACAGTATTGCTGTGGTCGGGTGGGAGCGCAATCCCAACCCAGAATTGGTTACGCGAGCAACAACAAAGTCGCAAAGTCGCACAAGTACAGTCACTTGTTGTTTCAATAAACGTTATGATGGGGGTGTCCCATCACAGGACAGCCCTCACAATGGCATGGATGCTGTTTCAGCTCCTCTTTGTCAGGAGGGGGTGACACTGGGACACGGAAACACGATGAAATGCTTTGGAATCACAGCAAAAAGCAGTTTCATCTGATATATACTAGTGTGTAGTATGTAGTATTCATCTGATACATACTAGTATCCCTTTTGGACTGCTGTATGCTTCAGGTATGCAAAGTTCGGCCCTTGGCTTCCTCCTGGCTCAGAGGCACTTCGCGGACCCGCTGGTGATGGTCCCTTCTGCCGTTAGCGTCCTTTTCCAGGCTGGCCTGGGCTCCGCCCTTGCAGTCTTCTGGAGGAGCCGGCCGATCAAGGATGAGTCATACCACCAGCGGTCCCCATGGGCCGGGGAGGACGACGAGTGAGAGGGAAGCTGAGCAGAGTGGGGTGCAACACGAACTTGTTCCCGTGGCTAAGATCGGATGTGCAGCAGCGGCAGTGCATGAGTCGTGGATGCCTGTTTGCTGACTGGACGTAACAATTCAAGACCCTGTTGAGCTGATGGGTTGTGGTGGTACATCACATTGGAGATCCACCTGGGCTGACAGACCAGTACTTCAGCCATTGTAACAATGGCAACCATGCCCAGTAATCTTACATGGCCCTGTTGGGAATGAGGGTGCATGGGGAGGGCGACGTGGCATGGAGGAAAATTGGGCCATGGTCATGTTTCAACATCCTGCTGTGTGTTAGGAATTCTTGCTGGCGGCACACCGGGTTCGGTCGGCGTTGAGGGTGGTTGGGGGTTTGGTGCTGGCCCGCACCAAGCCTGAAGAGGGGATTTGTTCAACATGGACACGTGTTTGACCCGTAGG